CTGAGCCATGGGGACAAGAATATTGACCTCACAAGATAGTGGAGAGCGTTAAACAGGACAGTGCCTAAAGAGCACCAAATTCAGATGCTTGCACATCATAGACACATACTTATCTGGGGGCTCCCCGTCCCACCTTTCTCTCCAGAGGTCGTAGCCAGGAAAACTCAGTGATCTACACGGCACTCACCTAACCCGTAAGGTTGCCGCGGGGTTGGTAGTTCCATTGCTATCTTTTACACCTCTTGTGTTTTGCCCAGATTTTCCATCTTCAAGCCTCTTCTCACCCCACGAAGGGCACTACCAGCCTGACCACTAACAAAAGACAGGACTCACCTTCTTGAAATAGTCAGCAAGGCTGTCGGAGTCCCAGGTCAGGACTTCTGAGCGAAAGGGAACATTCCTCAGGGCCATGGCTGCTCTCCCAGGAGGAAGCTCACGAGCTGAGTGTGGGTGCTGCACCCATGGACAAAAAAGCCCAAATCCAGAGCTTGGAGGTGTCCGTGGCTCTTCCAACTCCCAGCTACCCTCTGAAACAGCCTTGTTGGAGCAGATGTCTTTTCTGGGGTAGCCAGATCCCAGAAAGCAACGGCTTCCTCTGCGAACAAATATGGTCTCTTCTCAGAAAACGACTCAGCTAGTTTCCTTTACCACTTCCTCTGCTGGGCTCTAAATAAGTAAACAAGGAAGCTCATCTCTGGGGGCTTGAAGTGCAAAGACAGCGACAGGGTTGGTAATTCCCCGCTAGTTCCAGGCACCCTAGTCCATTGAGAGGGGTAATGAAGGGGAGTTAAACTCCGATGTGAGTCAAAGGATTTCTCCATTAAACCTCCTGGCACCTGTATGTCTACACCACAGTTCTGCTCGGCTAGGTCTTTGCAGATGAACATCTATTTTGACGGTTGACCTAAAATAAAGACAATTTCTCACATCAGTGAAATGCTAGGGAAAGGAGCCTGGCCATTTACTGCTTTCCAACCATCTTCCCCTCCCAGTCTGGAGTCTCTATCAAAAGCTGAGATCCCTTCAGCTGTCTCTTTCTCTTTAGTGTGAGAAGGTCCTTGGCGAGTGAGTGAGTCAGGCGCCCAGGGTTGAACATGGTGCTGCACTGGACAGGCCCAGGCTCAATTTCCAATGTGACCATTTCTGTGCTGTGTAACCTTCAGCAAGGACTCGAAATCTGGGAATCTCAGTTTCCATAACTGTAAAACAGGAAAACAGAGAATTGCCTCATATACACATATAACCTACATGCATTCAACTAGACAAACTTAAAGGAAAAAATTTTTTTAAAAATTAACAATTGTGGGCCGGCCCGGTGGCGCACTGCTATAGTGCGCCGCTTGGGAAGCGCGGTGGCGCTC